GACATACTATACAATTTTCAAATTAGATAATTGGAAAAATGAACAACCAGCCACAAATCCCACTCAGCAAATCCATCAATCATAGTATCAATTTTTAAAAGAATTAGAAACCTTTCTATTATTTGAATAAACAGGCAGATAATTCTTTGTCACCTACATTTTCATGGGACAAATGACAGTCGAATTGTGTTCTAAAGAAAAGTGTAGTGTATGTGAAAAATATAGAATCAGTTGTGACAGTAAAAGAGCAAAGACATATAAATGGTGAATTTACTTTTCCTCTGTGGAAAATGAAAGATCCCATTCAAAGCATGCTGTGAAGCTTTTTTTTGTTTTTAGCATAAACACAGCTCTTAAGTACAGTAGCTGCCTGTCACGCTGATGGGCACAGGTTGAATTACAATCTTGGGAATTCTGCCTTATAAAAAGGGAATTAATACAGGGTGGTTAATGGAGCTCTCTACTTTCACTGTTACCAGAACTACTTCCTGATTCATTAAGGGAAAATAAATCGCATAATAGACTTTACCTGTGGTGCAGCCCTCAGGAACACTGAATTACATAAAGGTACAGTATTTCCAAAGACCCCAAGAATATAGTGGAATTCTTCATTAATGTTTTCAAGGTTTGTTAGTTATTATTACTTTAATTTTAACATGCAAATGTTAAACATAAGTCTTACTGATCTGCATGAAATGAACAGAGTATTATACAGCAACCACCACATAACATTTCCCATGTGTACTTCCTGTATATTTGAAGTAAGTTTTTTTTGTATGTTGTCCTCCAATTACAAAAGCCTGGTTTATAGTGTATGTTCATTAAATCTTTTTTCCATGTAATGCCAATTTTCATGAAATATTTAAACCATCAAAATAAATATCCTGACATTTTAGGGATAAACAATCCATGTTTATCCATGATATTGTAGATGTTGTGAACCTGATTTCGGAATATACTGTATGCAGGCATCTGTCCATCCAGTTTTTTAATAGTTCTCCAACTAATGACATTTTACAAAGCTTAAGGTATCACAATACCTTACCATAAAGTTATTTTTTAATTTGATTTTGAAATGTTGCAGTGTCCTTGGTACTGTATAGTAGTTTATGGGCATGTTGTGTAGGGCAGCTGTATACTGTACTGTATGGTGATTTTTGGTAAACCTATGATATTGTACCTGTAGAAGTTGACATCTATCGACAATGCCAACCCAGGAACTACTGTCATCATATTCGTTACTGAAACAGAGTGCTCCAGAAAAATCAGCTGTGGAGTAGATCGAGCTTTCAAAGACCTAGATTCCCTGATCTTTTCAGGGAGACATAAGACCTTCTGGAGTTACAGTATGAAGAAGCAAAAAAGTATGAAAGATCAGAAGTGACAAAAGAGACTAGAAGAATCTCCTGGCCGGCGTATTTATCAACCTCTTGTCTTCTGAAATGTATGACTTACTTTGACAGCCAAGGCACTTGAGGGGGAACAATACCAAGAGAAAATCATTAACTCTGTTTAACTCAGACGCAGTTCTTCAAGCAATTCACATTGTGAAGCAGTTCAACCAAGATAAGCAGTGAAGGCTTTTTCCCCAATCCTTCCAACAGTAACACTGCAATTACCCTCCACCCTGCTTTCCATCTGAATGAATGAAAAGTTCCTGAAGAGAAGGGTTGTAAGTTCATAACCTGGGTCATGCAGTAATGAAGATTTGCAGGTCTGTTAATCGAAATATTACTAACACTTCTGTGTTTAGCCACAGTACTATAGAGATTGTCGGTTTGTAGGACTTTCATCCAGACCATAGACTGAGGAATGAGAATAATTTCGGATAAGAGATTTATTAAAAAAATGAAATTTGCTTTTATCTGTGCATAAGCCCACTTAAAAGAATAGTGTCTTATTTAATAAGATTCTTTTTTATTACTTAAAAAATTAAATTTAATTCATCAGACTGAAATTAAGGCATGCTTTTATAAGGGACTCATACTAACAGTATGAAGCAGATATTTCCTCATATCTGAAAAGCAATTTATCCATTGAACAATGGATAAATTTAATGGATTTAATGGATTTAACAAACAAGTGGGTTTGTAGTGTAATTTCATTACAACAAGATTGTTAAACACATACAGTACTGTATGTTCCTAATATTCCTAATATTACAACACAGATTGTTGCTGAAAGTGAGAGCATTTACATTACTTGTTTGTAATGAATGAATGAATTAGTGTTAGTATATTTTGTTTATTCTCAGTTATGTAGTGCAGAAGACAAAGATCAGATGTTAACCCAAACACATCAGTTTGGAAAATCAAAGCACATCAAGAGTAGCTGAGAATTACTCTAGGCTTTTACAGTAATGTATAATTACCAAGGGTTTCAGATCTAACACAATGGAAGAAATACTGTTCTTTATAAAGAACTAATATTTAGAGGGATTGTTCAATATGCATGGTGCACCATAACATTTTTCACGAGAGAGGTAGAAAGAAATTTATTTAGGAAGCATGTTCTTTGCAAGCCCTTCTGTGACCATAAACATCTTTATACATCTGGAGCTTTTATACTCACCTGCATTTTTACAGATTTGTAAATCATACCCCTTTACTGTTCACATTAGTGGTGTTTGATAGTACTGTACTACTATAGTATTCTTTGGCAACAGGATAATAACCTGTTTTATTTTAAAATGTTCGTCCCAGCTCAATACATTTTGGGTATTACAAAGATTTGTAAACATCTTTAATCCAGTTGGTATATCACATAAAATACCCCACATGCACAATCAGAATGACAACCCCTTGAACAGAAATGTTAGTATATTAGCATCATAATAATTTGTTCATTAAAAAAAAACATATCATATACCGGGATCTAATGTAATTTTGCCACCTTAAAAAATGAAGTTTTCCCTCTGTGGCTCAATTGCACAATTTTATTCTGGCTGGCAGCCCATTTTAAACTTCTTGAAGAGCCTGCAGTTTGAGCCGGACCTATGGAAGGCCTTGAAGACCATGGCTTCCCTCTTCTGTCCTTTCACTACTTTTCCCCTTCGACTCTCTTTCACACGTCTGGTTTCCTTTTTTTCCTTGTCCTTTCTTCCCGTTTTTATATTATTGTTGGATTTATACAGTTTATTCAGGTACCAAGCCTGTCATACCACGATGAGTGTTCACATTTGTTCATTATTGTACATGGTATCATGAGATATTCTTTGTTTT